GATCGAGCGCCTCGAGCATATTCACACTCTCCACCGCCTGCGGCTCACAATGTCCTCTGCTCTCTGGGCCTCATGGGTCGACAGACTGGTAGGCTTGCCATAGCCCGCCTCCCCCGTGCGAGCCAGCCCCAGCACCGCGGGGGCGCCTGTCAGACCACAGTCCCGGCGCGCCTCTGCCAGTCGCTTAGCTTCTCGTAGAGCAACCCTATGCACCTGGCCGTGCAGCCCCCGCATGTTCTCCGACAAGCTCTCCTTGCGGCGGTGGCGGGTGAGGTCCTTGCACGAGCCCGCGTCCATGGAATTGATTCCCTGCGCGAACTCGTTGGCGAGAGCCCACCGAGCGAGCTTCCGCTTGAATCGGTGCCGAAGTCGACTAGATCGGCTCGTCACCTGAGCCGGGCGCTCCACCAGCGTGATGGGGAAGAACGCCTCCTGTCCTGGCTGTGTCGAGGTCACCTGCTGCAGCGAGGGGTGCACGTCGTCACGCTGCCTGGGCACCCACACCGCTGCTGGGCTCCGCGCCCCGACGGCAGGCTCGTCGGGGCGCGCCGCGAGCCTCTGCTCATGCTTGGAGTCGGCGGCCTTGCCGCCCCGACTCCCGCCTCGACCTCCGCGACCGTCGCCGCGGCCGCCGCCCTTGTCGTTCTTGCGCCTATGGCGGGCCTCGGCCTCGACCCGCTCCCTGCGCTGGTGCTCGATCTTCGAGTGCATCGTCGCCGAGGCCACCATCCAGGTCGGCGCCGCGTCCGCCGAGCCGCCCGGCGGCGCGAAGCCCAACATGTGCTGAGCCCCGACGCGGTCGCCACTCCGCTGCTCGTACACGTGCGCTGCGCACGGTGCGCCGCCAGGCGGCGGAGCCCAATCTCCATCATGTCGTCTCTGGCCAGCACTTGCATGATCTCCAGGTCGCTCCTGCAGTCTCGGGGCCGGAAGTCGACCGACGCGGCGAGGGTCCAGAGGTCGACCCACGCTGGGCTGGTCCTGCTCCCCTGGCAGCGCTGGGCGATCCAATCTCGCGCACTCGTCGACCCTTCGCCTCGCATCGCCCTGTAGATCTCTGGGGCGGCACGCTGGAGGTCCGCGGGTAAGGAGGATCCCCGCCGCGTCTCCTCCGAGCCCCCCGCCGCTGCTGCCGGGCCCTGGCTGGGACTGGCCTGCCATGCGCCAGCGCCCGCGGTCAGCGCGGCCTCCGACGCCAGGCGGTCCAGGGCGGCGCCGAGCTCCTCGTGGCGGGGGGCTGTCACCGTCTGCTCGCCTACGTAGCCGAAACCGACCACGAGACGCTTCACCTCGGGCAGCAGCTTCCCGCTCGAGTCCAGCGTAAAGACGTTGGCCCAGAAGCGTCGCCCCTTCATGTAGTCCTGGCCCCGAGCGTTCGAGAACGCCGTCAGCAGCTCCTTCACTTGCCTCGCTTGTTGTCGTACCTTGCTGTCTGACTCGGGCGGCCCGTGCAGTGGGGCTCCTGGTGAGCTGCCGACGGCGGCAGCGCCGCCCCCTTCAGGGGCGGACGCGCCCGCCCACGCGCCCAGGGCGCCCAGGCTCGACGCTCCCGCGGGGGCTGAGGCTGCCGGCCCCGCGGGAGGTCCGACGGGCCCAGCGGCAGGCCCCATCGTCGTCACACCCGGGACCTGTGGGATCCCTGGCGGCAGCGCACCGCCATCGCCCCACGCGGGCATGGCACTGTCGGGCGGGCCGCCACCTGGGAATCCTCCGCCCGGCATGCCCATAGCCCCAGACAGCGCCAGCTGCTGCGTCCGCGTGGTGAGCGCCGCCATCTGCTCCTTCGCGGCCTCCCGGTCGCAGTGCAGCTGCCACGCCTGGCGCGCGACACGAAGCACTGCGAGGCAGCCCACGAGCCCGCGCACGGCGAGGCCGACGAGGCGCGCGCGGCCCGTCGAGCCTAGCTGGGCGGCCAGGGCGCCTCCGCCGCCCGTCAGGGCCAGGAGCCCCCACGCGGTCGCGAGCCGCCAGCTGCCCTGGCTCGCGTCCCGCTGCGGCGGCCCCTGGACTGCCGCCGTCGTCTCGCTCGAGGGAAAGGCGTCCAGCCCGGGCGGCGCGGCCGCCGCGGCCGCGTCGCCCCCGGGCGACATGGCGGGCGCGTCTGGCGGGAACACGGCGGCGCCAACTCTTGGCGCCGCGAGGGAAACCTGAAAGAGGGTGCCCGCGGAGGCACCTCGAAACTCGATTCAGTGAGTCATGATGCCTTGAACTTGAAACGGTTTCGGGCGCAGGCATGACCTGGAGACAACGACCGAAACATCAAAACATGTCCCGCCCCTGGGTCCCTTCGCTAACCTATATGAAAATCAACGTTCAAAACTCACTCACCCATCTATACACACATATATATATATATATATCCATACATATATATATATATATGTATATATGTATGACTATATATATATGGTATGTGGTATATGGTGTGTATATATATATATATCTATATGTATAGTTGTGCATATGTATGTCGGCACGATTGCAACATAACACCCAGAGATCGAATAACACCGCATCCTCGAGACATCAGGTGAAACCTGCGGGCGAGATCCGTAGATCTCTTTTTGTTGTTCAAGGGTTTCTTTGAAGAGGGCCGCCCCTCGGACGCTCCCCCTTGCCGGCTGCGTGTGCCCACCGCTCTCGCGCGCAGCTGAGGGTCCCTGGTGGCATGGAGGAGGAGGCCGACGGCGGCGAGGCAGCATAACCCCCGCCAGGTGCTCGCGCCGACGAGGGCGAGGATGCTCTCCGACCAGGTCGAGGCCGGCCTCTTCTACCGCTGCGCTGCCTACGACCACCACGACAGGCCGCAAGGTGAGCATGCGCTGCGGGTGGACGGCGTGTACACAGCAACGAGTGGGGGCCAGTTTGCACGTGCCACACAGATATGCTGCAGTGACGAGTACTGGGCATGGTGGATGGCACGCCCTGTCGAGCGTGGAGGTGCGGGCCGAGTATTGTACCATTTCTGCGCGCACGAGATGTGCGCTGCCAGACCGCCTGCGTCCGCGGCCACGTGTATCCATGTCTCCGAGTCCGAGGAGATCGACGTCAAAGAGCTCGCAGAGTTCTTCGTGGAGTGCAGGACCAGCCACCCATGGCGCGCCTGGCCCGTTGACCTCGGGCCCGCACCTGGTGAGGATGATGTGGGCGGTGGTGCCCTGGAGGTCGACGAGCACGGCATGCCGAAGGACGACTGCGTGGAGCGCGCGGAGCTGCGGGCTGCCGCCAGGCCGAAGGGCGCGGCGCGCCCCCCTGGCCCGAGGCGTGCGGCGGCTAAGCAGCCTTCGCCACTGGAGGCTGCGGGGGCGCAGCTGGCGGCAGGCGAGCCTGCGGCGGGCAGCGCTGTCGGCCTGCGCGCCCGCCTGGAGCGGCTGCGTGGCGCGCTGCAGCCTGGGCCAGGCGTGAAGCCGGCGGCCGAGGCTGCCAAGGCGGGGGCCGCCGCGCCTGCAGCCCTTCCCCGTGGCGCAGCGAAGCGGCCGCTCGAGGATGTCATCCAGGAGCGCGCCGACAAGAGGAAGGCCCCTGAGAGGACGTCGGACCAAGCGAGCTCGGCGGCTGCTGCGAGTGTGGGCGGAGGTGGCGAGAGTGCCTTATTCGCGCTGATTTTCGAGCCGGTCGCCAACAGGGGCACCTCCGCCGACCTCCTGCAGTCGATGCTCAATGCCTCCAACGGAGGCAGCGAGGGCGCCGTGCCGATGGGGCCTCGCTACGCGACGCGGCCACTTTCGCCAGATTGCTACTAAGTTCCCAGGGCTCCTCTCATAGCAAGCCCTTGCTAAGATGAGCGAGTGCGTCACTACTCAGGTGGGGGAAGAGACAGCCGACGAGTTCCCGCCGATCTTTCTCAAGTACTTCTCTGGATGTGTTCATACCTCAGAACCCGATTCAGTCGATCGGGATCGAGGTCTACCGCGAGACGCGCACGGTCTGTGAGGCCGCAGATGCCATCTTGTCGGGTAAGACATCCTACGCTTTCGACGTGCTGAGCCAGCGTTTCAAGGCCCTCCAGCTGTTTGCGATAGACAGGACGTGGTCGGGGGCGCGCTGGCTGGAGCTCACCCCGCCGTCGAACAAGCAGCTGGCCCTCAGGGCGGAGGATGAGGAGATCGTCCGCACCGTGGAGCTCGGAGAGCTACGCCTCGAGGAACTCCTAGCCAAGCTCAAGAAGGGCTAGGGGCTCGGCCGGGAGCGGGAGCCGCCGAGGAGCAAGTCCCCTCCTGTAGGCCACTCTTGCGGGAGTCGGGGCCAGGGGTCGCAGCCGCGGCCTGGCGCTCGGACGCCCGCGGACCTCGTCAAGGACCACCCGCTGCCACCTGGGGCCGCCCAAGCTCAGAGTCGCCCAGCTCCAGGACAGCAGCGGGCCGTGCAGCTACGGGGCGACGACCGGAAGGGGAAGGCGCCCATGGCGAATTCCTGGAAGGCCGTCAAGGAGTCCCACCCGAAGAGGCAGGGCGATACTCGGAGCGCTCACGGCATGCGGCTCAGGAAGCTCATGCAGGAGGCGCCCGGGCGCCAGGACCGCCCCCCGCGATAGGCCAGGTGCTAGCGTCGAACGCCGACGTAGGCGCCCGCTGGCCAGAGTCCTTGCCCCCCCTGTGCTGACTTGACCCACTGGCGGGCAGCCGTTGCGAGAGCTGTGCCCGACACCCCGCACTTGCTGGACCTCGGCGTCGCCGTCATCGCTTTGTATTGGCAGCTTCAAGTGGGGTCCCGCTTCAAGTGGAGCAACAAGGGCATTGTGTGGGGCGGGGGCTGATGGCCAGCGGGAAAAAAAGATCACTCGGAGGCGGAACACTAAGCACCTCCTTGCCCTGTGCTCGCTCGTTCCTCCTTCTCTCCCCGTCCTCCCTCCCTCCCCCCTGCCCCCGCGCCCCTCTCCCCCCCCCTCCCTCCCCCCTCCCTCCCTCCCTCCCCTCCCTCCCTCCTCCCCTCCCTCCCTCCCCTCCCTCCCTCCCTCCCTCCTCCCCTCCCTCCCTCCCTCTCGCCCTCCCCTCGCCGAGGTGGGCCGCGAAGGACGCCAGGCGCGACGCGGCCCCGCTGCCGCGGGCCGACGCCCAGGACTTGCCCGCAGAGGACGAGGCCCCGCCGCGCGCGGGAACGCCGCGGGCCCCCTGCCGCGGCCGCCCCGCTCCTGCGGCCGCCGCGCTTGCCCTGCGCTGCCTCCCCTCGCCGCCACTGCTCCCTCCTGGACGGGGGAGGAGGATGAGGAGGAGGAGGAGGAACAGCAGGAGAAGAGGAGGCGGAGGAGGAGGAGGAGGAGGAGGAAGAGGAGGAGGCGGCGGTGGAGGGGGAGGAGGAGGGGGACCAGTGCAAACCCAAGACTTATCAACGATGTTGGAACACACCCTTCCCCAGGCTCCCTCTCCAGATGCCCCTACAACGGACCATTTCCACTGAGGGAATTGTCCCGTTTGGCGACAACCGTGTGAACATGTTGAAGCGCACCAAAACCTTAATCTCAGGACTTCAACGCCACGAGTCAACCTGACTGTTGCGTCTTGGCGTCATTTTCCTCCTCCTCCTCCTCCTCCTCCTTCTCCTCCTCCTCCCTCCTCCTCCTCCTCCTTCCTCTCCTCCTCCCTCCTCCTCCTCCTCCTCCTCCTCCTCCTCCTCCTCCTCCTCCTCCTCCTTCCTCCTCCTCCTCCTCCTCCTCCCTCCTCCTCCTCCTCCTCCTCCTCCTCTCCTCCTCGTCCCCTCCTCCTCCTCCTCCTCCTCCTCCTCCTCCTCCTCCTCCTCCTCCTCCTCCTCCTCCTCCCCCTCCTCCTCCTCCTCCTCCTCCTCCTCCTCCTCCTCCTCCTCCTCCTCCTCCCTCCTCCCCCTCCTCCTCCTCCTCCTCCTCCTCCTCCTCCTCTCCTCCTCCTCCTCCTCCCTCCTCCTCCTCCTCCTCCCTCCTCCTCCTCCTCCTCCTCCTCCTCCTCCTCCTCCTCCTCCTCCTCCTCCTCCTCCTCCTCCTCTCCTCCTCCTCCTCCTCCTCCTCCTCCTCCTCCTCCTCCTCCTCCTCCTCCTCCTCCCCCTCCCCCTCCCCCTCCCCCTCCCCCTCTCTCCCCCTCCTCCCCTTCCTCCAGCTGCGGACCGCGTGTCCGCACCACCTGCGCGCCCCCCCTGACGCCGAACGAGAAGGCCGGGCGCCCGCCTCCGCCAGCCACCAGCAGCCGCCGCCGCCGCCGCCTCCGGTGCGGTCCCACCGCCAGGCGCCTCCGGTGCGGTCCCACCGCCAGGCGCCGCCGGTGCAGCCCCACCGCCAGGGGAGGCCGCCGCCGCACGACAAGAGCCCGACATCGGCGCCAGGTACGGGGGCTGCCCCCCCGTCGGGGGACCCGGACCCGTACCGTTTTCTCTCCCCAGGGGGGACGAGCCCACGCCCCTGGCAAGCCAGGGGTCCGCCCGTCGACGGCCTTGGGGAGCAGCCGACCCCGAGATGGCTATGGGCAGCGGCCTCCAGCGGCAGCCCGCGCGCTTGCAGCCAGCCGTCTGGTGAGCTCCCAGTTCAGCGCGTCGCGCCCCTCCGCCGCTCGCCCGCTGCCCTGCCGGTCCGCGAGCCTCCTCCAGCTCGCAGCGGCGCCCCGGGCCTTGCCCGCGCCTCCTCCTTCTCCTCCTCCTCCTCCTCCTCATCCTCCTCCTCCTGGCTCCGGCACCTCAGCGCCACCCCCCACGCCCCTCCTCGCTCCTCCACCTTGCCCTCCTCAGCGCAGGCCAGCCGCGTGGCGCGGCTGCCGCGCCACCTGGCGCTGGACAGCACAGCTGACCGCGCAGTACGCGCGCCAGCTCGTGCTGTTGTTCGTCTTCTGGCAGATCCCTCACGTGGCTGACCAGCCACTGGCGCGCCTCTACGCCTAGCCGCCCCGCGGACTCCACGGCGAAGGCAGTCAGCCGATCGCTGGGATAACGCTCGTGCTTCTCTCGCTCGGCGCGAGGCCTCTCCAGGCCTCCGGGCGGCGACCCGAACGGCGGGCTCGCCCCCTGCCGCGGGGTGGGGTGGCGCACGGTGACGTCCACCCACCGCCTGCCATCCACGTCCTCATACTGGACATCCAGAATGGCTCCTTCAAAGACAGTGGGGCCGGCGCCCTCGGCCGCGCGCCGCGGCCGGAAGCGGTCCCATGTGGGCTTGCGCTGTTCGTACAGCGGGCGGTCGTGCGTCCACCGCGCCACCAAAGCGCCCACCGCCTTGGCCAACCCTCCGCGGCGCCGCACAATGCCTCCCCCGTGCTGACAGGTGGCCGCGTGGTAGCCATCTTCGTCGGGGGGGCGCCTGGCAGCGGACCCCGGCGCCCGACTCGTTGCAGCACGTCGTAGAGGCCCGCGCGAGCTCGTCGTTGGAGCATTCTGGTCGCGGCAGCAGAAGGCGGCAGCGGGTCCCTGTGGCCCACTCTACGTCTTCCAACGCACACGCTGCCTCTGTGGGGTACTGCAGGTACGCCCCGGACCCCAGCCCGCCGGCGGACTGAAGGACAGCCTGATTGCGTAGGCACATTCGCTGCCGGGAGGCAGCCAGGGTTGTCTTGTGCACCGTCGCAGCCATCGTCTCCTCCTCCTCCTCCTCCTCCTCCTCCTCCATCCTCCTCCTCCTCCTCCTCCTCCTCCTCCTCCTCCTCCTCCTCCTCCTCCTCCTCCTCCTCCTCCTCCTCCCTTTCCCCCCCCCTCCGTGCCTACAGGCACGCCTAAAGGCCATCCCCCCCTCCCCCCCTCCGTGCCTACAGGCACGCCTAAAGGCATTCCCCCTCCCTGCCTCCGGCACGCCTAAAGGCACTCCCCCCCTGCCCTCCGTGCCTACAGGCACGCCTAAAGGCCATCCCCCCCTCCCTCCCTCCGTGCCTACAGGCACGCCTACAGGCACTCCTCCTCCCTCCCTCCGTGCCTACAGGCACGCCTATAGGCACTCGACTCCCCTCCTCGCTCGAGTCCCTGCTCGCCCGTGTGTGCGCGAAGCTCCGCGAGTCCGCCCGGCGCCTGGTGGCAGGGCTAACCGACCACGGTTTTGGAATGTCAGCGCAGGCGGAGCAGCTTCCCGCCCGCGCGGAGGCTTCGGCCTTCTACGAAGCGGAACTCCTGGCCAGCCACGCCCGCGGCTGCAACGAAGTTGCAACCCAGCTGAACAGGGCGTAGTACGACGTAGCCAAAGCACTGCTGGGTTTGCCGCCGGCCGCATCCATGGGCATTGAGGGCTACGTGCGCCTGTTCCTAGAGACACGGTTGTTGACGCGGGCTTCGAGCAAAGTGGCCCTCCGGATCGTTATGTCATGGGCCCGGATGCTCCTGTTGCCGGAGCAGACGCCGATTGTCCCGGTTGTGCGGGCAGCGTTGGCGCGCCAAGGTGGTTGTTGGCTGCACGACGCCGCCGCGGTGGCCGCCCTTTTCGGGGTGGGGGCGCCGCCGGAGAGCCTGGCTGTCGCGGCCCAGGCGGGTGCGCAGGCGAGGCGGCGCGCCCTTCGCGGCTGGGCTCGCTCGGCCGTGTTGTCGCGGATCCGCGAAACCGAGCAGATCTGGTTCTGGGAACAGCTGGGCCGCTTGAGCGACACCGGCCTCGTACCCGTCGCGGAGGTCCTCCCTCTGCATTGCGACTGGCCCCCCGCCCTCAGGTGGGCGTCATGGGGGCGAACTATGTGGCGGTTCCACCGTGCATGGTGCGCCGCACGCGTGTCGCTCCAAATCCCAGTCGGGGTCTGGGGATTGCCGGCGGAGCGCCTGCCCGAGGCGTGCCCGTTGTGCGCTGGCGGCGCGGTCTGCCTCCAGCACCTGATGGAATGTTGTGCCGCCATGGAGGCCCACCGGGAGGCGGTGCATGCCGCGTGGGGCCCGCCGAGGGGCGAGCTCTTGCTGTGGGCGCTGCGGGACACGCTGGACGTGGACGAGCTAGCTGCCAAGGTGCGGCTGATAGGCGTGGCCGCCTCGACCTTCGTCCACGCATGCTAGCGCCGGACGGTCAGAAAGGGGCACGGCGCGCGCGCCTTTCCCCCCCTCCCCCTCCCTTCCTCCCTGCCTACTAGCGCGCCTACACGCACCCCGTGCCTATAGGCACTCCTCCACCGCCCCCCCCCCTCTTTGCCTACAGGCACGCCTACAGGCCCTCCCCCGTCCCCTGCCTACATGCATGCCTACAGGACCTCCTTGCCTACAGGCACTCCCCCCCTCTCTCCCTCCTCCTTCACCCTGCCCACAGGCACGCCTACAGCCCCTCCTCGCCTACAGGCGCGCCTAGAGGCCCTCCCTGCCTAAAGGCACCCGCGTTCCCCAATGGCAGCGCCTACAGGCGCTACCTGCGGGGCCTTCCTGGCTGCGACGACCCATAGGGCCTATAGGTCGCGGGCGCTCGCACAAGGGAGGAGCGCCGCGTATACGCGGGAACCAACCCAATGGGTCACAGTCCAATGGGTCCTCCTCCTCTTCCTCCTCCTCCTCCTCCTCCTCTTCCTCCTCCTCCTCCTCCTCCTCCTCCTCCTCCTCCTCCCTCCTCCTACTCCTCCTCCTCCTCCTCCTCCTCCTCCTCCTCCTCCTCCTCCTCCTCCTCTCTCCTCCTCTCCTCCTCCCTCCTCCTCCTCCTCCTCCTCCTCCTCCTCCTCCTCCTCCTCCTCCTCCTCCTCCTCCTCCTCCTCCTCCTCTCCTCCTCCTCCTCCTCCTCCTCCTCCCTCCCCCTCCCCCTCCTCCTCCTCTCCTCCTCCTCCTCCTCCTCCTCCTCCTCCTCCTTCTCCTCCTCCTGTTGCAGTGGGGCAGATTTTCACTGATAGGTTCAGCGTCAGGAGCTTCTGTCCGTGACCAATTGTGGCTCAAGGGTAAAACACCTAGTCTGTCTCCGTCTGCCACAGTTGGTAGCGGAGCGTGGCCTGGGCGAGGTGCCATGGGCGGAGGCGACCCTGCCACGAGGTAGGCGGCCTGTCGCTCGCGCGCCCTCGTCCGCGGCCGCGCTCGCACCGACGAAGCAGCGTGGGATCCACGGCCAAGGTGATCATGCCCGCCGACGGCGAGGCCGGGACGGAGGTGACGAACTTCCACGTGGGCGCTGGCGGCCAGGAGGCTCCAGGCAGCAGCCCGGGCAACCAGAACGCCACGGTGACCATCCGACGCGAGGAGCTCAGGGACTT